AATAATGAAGTGCTAAAGGAAAAGTCAATGGCAAAAATGGCAATGGGCTGGCCATATATCACGGTTGACGGATAATAGATGGACTTTAGAAGCTACAAGATGGAAAGGGCTGGCGGGAAAAAGGAAAGTCGGTAGACCTACAAAACGGTGGTCTGATGATATAATGGAAGTGACATGGAAAGACTGGCTGACTCCAAGCAAAAACAGGGAAGGCTGGAAGGAGATGGAGGAGGCCTTTACCCAAGGCGGGATCCATATTTAAAATAAATAAAACAATTAAAAAAAATGTAATAGACTAACAATACTAACAAAATGAAGTTTTTGAAACCCTATGTAAATATGGAAATAAAGAGGCTTATTATTATTATAAAGGAAAAGTCTTATCGAATCATTTTTTACGTAAGAAAAACAAAGAAAAATACACTCTATCATATGTTTAGGACCTACGCTTCATCATACTTCATATTTTATTATATTGTAAATGCGAAAGTTTAGATGGATGGATGTTTGTTAGAGTTTGTTGTCTAAACGGCTTAACGGATTACGTACTTTGGTATAGATGTAGAGGATAGTCTGGAAGAAAACATAGGCTACTTACTTTTGTTTTTTTTACACGCGAAAGGCGTCGCGGGAAAAGCTAGCATTTTATAATTTAAGAATGAGTAATTTTCATCCCAGTGAGAATTTGTCATTAATAAAAAAATCGTATTCATCAAAGGTAGATGGTTTTTTTCTATGACATCATTTTGACTTACCCAGCTTGCAGCATCAATGAGAAGACGTCAATGTACCAACGAGTCCGTCACCGTTGACGCAATCATAAAGTTAAACATGACAATGTACTTTAAAGCTCAATTGTTTATGACTCATATTGGAAACATTTTAAACAATTTTTTTTTGAACTCATCGTGGTTGAAAGATATTTTTTTAACGAGGGCAACATGTAATGTTACTAGCTGACGCCAAACGCCGCGCTAAAATAAAAAAAAAACTTTATTCGAAGTGTTATGTGTTATTCCGGACTATCAATCCGTCTATCTAAACTTTCGCATTTATAATACTAGTTAGAAATAATATTTTGTAACAACATGATATATTACTTAATCAATTTTGTAGAAAAGAATATTGTAATGGGTACTTTTTATAAATCATGTTGACGTTAAATCAATAGAAATTAAATAACGTAAGACTCGTTATAAAATGAAGTAAGAAAAAAACTGCATTTAAAGAATATAACAAGCTAATACCACTAAACCTATTCATCAACAAAAATATATGAGGTGATAATGATACGGTACGAATCTCGATATTTATACCGGGAGATTGGTAAGAAAACATTTACCATTTGCCATGTAATCTACAGCCATAAACATTTTAGTCTATTGTTTGTCAGGTCTTAATCTAGAAGATTACAGCGTAACATTTGGTGTCGCGACCGTAAACCTCGATCATAAACTTGCAACCATTAATCCCGACCCCAAAACACAATGAAACTCATAAAACGCGACTTAACAAATGTTCAAACGCACAAAGATTTGCTTTCAAAGATCTCTGATATGCGTATACTTACTGACCTCTATAAATGGATAGGCGTGACGTGGTATTGTATGCCTTTTTTTAATTTTTGCCATCATGGCGTTAACAGTTGTGGTTGGTGACGGTGGTGAAAATTTTAACCAATGACAGATATAGAATTACCTGTCGTAAACATCACAAATCGCCTAGGTTTAAATAAATCCTAGAAAACACTGTCCATTTATGCAGATCAGTGGCTAATACCAAATTTTTACTTGTTTATATGTAAATCATACATAATATTACAAATGCAAAAGTTTAGATGGATAGATGTGATGAATTATTGGATATTTGTTAGAGTTTGTAGCCTAAAGGGCTGAACGTATTTCAATGAAATTTGGTAAAGATGTAAAGGGTAGTCTGGAAGAACATATAGACTACTAACTTTTTTTTTAATTCTACGCGGAGAGTCGCAGGCGAAAGCTAGCCTGATCTAAAACAATACTTCATTAGTCATTCTGAAGTCAACTCGAAATCTGATTAAAAACCAATTTTATTTCACTTTACAATTTTAGTTTACTTAGTTACAAAGTTTCCCGCTACCATTCAAAGTTTAGCATTTGTGACAAGTGAGATGGAAAGAGTGTTACCTGAAAGTGAATTCCACTTCCAGCAACCGCTTTCAAACGGAATACAAAATCATATTCTTGTATAAAGCAAACTGAACACGATGAGTTTTGTAACATTGCAAAATAGTGTAACATTAATATTTGAATATAACGTCTGATTTTGCACATCCAATAAAAGTAGGCCGCATTTTTATGGAAGGCTATAAAAGTATCGTCACCTTTATGTGAAAACCCTACGAAGAGTCGGATAAATGACAATCTTACTGCTTATTCAGTGATATAAAACGAACCATCCAAAATTTTCGTTCACTCTTATTTTGTATTTAATAAAAGTGAAGAAAACTATATTTCCTAGCAAGCGAATTAGAAATTTGTTTTTAATTATTAAAAATATTTCGTATAACAGAAAGTTTTATGAACGTAAACTCTTCTCAACGTGTTTATAAACGAAATGTATTTCTTCCGTAATTTTAATGCGAACTTCGTTAAATTATTTTAACATTTCCTTGGCAATATTTTGTTTTAATGCTGTAGTTACGAAATAAAATATTTAAAGGAGCGTTTATTGTACTAATTAGACATTTTTATGATACTCTCATTTTTAATACTTGGCGCGAATTTTATTAGTAATTCTATTAAGCTTAATGGAGAGTTACATTTATTTGAAGAAATTTACTTTTTAAAAATTTTTCATGTGTTTTATAAATTTAAGAGGTGACTAAGTAATGCTGATTTAGTGTTCTTTAAAGTTTGAAAAAGTTACGGAACTTAACCTTAGCACATATACAAAAACAAGTGTAAAAATGTAGTGTAGATAATTTTATGAAGCCGAATACAGATAAAAAAAAAACGTTTCAAAGCAGCTTAGAGGTCAGAGAGTATTCAGTTACACTAAAGTTAAAAGTACATAATTTGAGTGTTAAGTTTATTTCCTCTCGATCATTCGCTGCAATCAATTTTCCAAATACTATTTAATTTTGCTAAAAGTAACTTCCAATTCGTATTAATTATAAAATCGTCAGCCAAGAAAGGGTTTAGGAGGGTATAATTAATTTTCATTAGAGCCGCTAGGGCACAGTTACTTTTAATGTTTTGCCGAATTCCCGTCGAAATTAATTGTAATGGTTAAAGTTAACGTTAACGTAACTTCTCGAAAATTAACTTTAAAGATATTTTTAACTCAAAATTCAGTCAAGGAATGTTAATAGCGAAATTTTCCGAATTATTTATTAACAATAAATTCGATATTAACCTTGTTATACTTTTTACTCAGAAAGAATTTTCAATAATGGTTTTTGTTTACTAGTGGGTAACAGTAGACAGCCAGAATCTCAAAATTATTTTATCCAGGTCAACAAAATTTATCACAGAAATGATTATAAATGTTCATCATCGTTGAGTATTACTAGAAATCAAACAAAGAAACGGAAACCTGCAGCTAAGATCCCTGTACCCCGGAGCAAACAAGTAATATTATTATAGTCGTCTTTTGTACCTACATCAAACAGCTCGGGTAAAAATGTCGACTTTCACATTTCATCTATTCAAATCATAAGAAGATATTCTCGGTACAGTAACGCTAGAAAACCCTCATCGTATTCATCCTGAATTACATTTGTTGCATAAATATTCAGGAAATAATATATATACTCACATATTTCAATAAATCAGAGCTTATCTTTAAAGCAGTCAACTAAAAGTCCAATAAACTTTTTCAATTTTAAGAAATGTCTTACAAATGGAAATAGCAAATGTGTTCGCAAATTTGATACAATTTAAATTTCCTCGCAACTTTTTCTTGCCTTATTCAGTGGTGCAAACTGTTGTTCAAAGACTATATTTTATGAAAATTCTTAACTGCAGGACGACTTTTTAAACTATTACATATAAAAAATAGGTCATTTTAAGATTGAGTTGCGTCTGATGATTATTAGAGCACGCCTTTGACTAAACTATCGCACAACTGTTTAGTCGCGCTTTGATTCCTATGAGCTTATACGAACTCGCGCACACAACTCGATTATTAATGTTTTATTGAATAGGCTGTGAAACAATCGACAATCGCACCACAGTTGTGCGATAGTTGCTCCCGCTCTTAATATTTATTTTGACTTCGTACCAAAAGCTCCGGAAACTTCGTATATTACATCTGTACATACAGTGCACTAGTAAACTAATGGGATTACAAAAGTGATGCAAATTGTCTTCAAATTAACGTATTAGTTCATTGTACTTTAACTAAGGGTAAGAACACACAAAGCGTTTTGAAGCGCTTTAGGAACATGCCCATCATACTCGTATTAACACGTTCTCATGTGTACTATTGTAACCGATTATGTACCTTCCGAGACCTAAGCCTAAACTCTCAAATTAGGATTTGATTTTGAAACGCTTAGTGTGTATATGCTGTTCTGCGTTCCTCTCTCAATTCGTGCTGGTACCGGCTCAAGTTGTCCATTAGAGTGCACAAGCTTGTATAGAGGTCGGAATGCGGCGGCCTAACTTCGTTAGACCGGATCTATCCGTATATTGCACTCTGTTTTGCATTCCAATAAATTTATTACACGTACTTGAAATAAATCCTTACATATCCTAAATAAAGGCAGGCAGATTTAAAGCTTTAACCTAATTTGATTATTAAAAGTATTTTAAAAATAAATATGAATAAAGAAAGTTTGACATCGGAAATAAGTTTTGCAAATATGAATAGTAGGGTTGGATAACTAAAGTCTATTCGAAATTCTAGATAAACCAAAGCATTGTATGCAATAGTCTATGGACTATCGTCTGTGGTTAGTAAAGAGGCTAATAAAAATGTTTATTGAAGTAGTAATTAATATTTTTCTTTGTCCGCAGCGAGCACCAATTTAGTGGGCAAGTTTACGCAGAGCGTACGTCGCATCGTACAAGACGTTAAAGACGAGGGCACTTCTAGTAAGTATACATTTAATGTTATATTTTATTTAATCCTTTTACCCGCTGTGGTTTCATAAAGCTTAAATAACCTGTGATGGTTACAAAGAGGCAGGTTTACACAATGCTACCTGTTTAACTTGTTACCGACAGCGCGGCAGCCAAAAATACAAAACACTTTTTATCAAACTAACACATCTTAATTCAAAACTTATTAACACAAATATATACAAAAAACTCAAAACTATCTGGATTACATCTTGCCTTCTTATTCTTTTTTTTCTATATATTTTCTTTAAACAACGATAAATGCCTTGGTGGCCAGTATGCAACCTCTTTGACTGTATACATACTGCTTGTCATCCAAAGAGGTTGTATTCTGCACTCAACACCACCAGCATTAGCTGACGTTAAGATTGTTAATCCACCCGTGTAACTGCCTCTTAATATGTTACCCTTCACTGAAACATCAGCAATTAATATGATATGCTTTTTTAACTAACTTCTGTTATTTATATTAATTCTACATCAATCATTGATCATAAAATTAATATTTCATAGCAATAAAAATTGCTCGTTAGTTCGTGAAATTCTATTAAACAAGTTTGCGCGTCACATGCCGGCAATTCCACGCTCATGATCCCATAAATTCATAACTATTTCGTATATTTGAACCAGAACTTTGCTGATTCCAAATATAATTCCATCAAATCGCGGATTGTTTAATCAGTACGAGGATTTCAAAATTTAATATGCAAATTATTTGATTTGTGAAATAATGTCAATTGCTTTTGAAATTATAATGACACATTTGTGGCTACAAAATATGTAACTTTATAAAATATCTAACCACTTGTTTATATATTTTTTGCTTACTTTTAGGAGGTTCATGATACAGAGTAGGAAGAATATTATTTTATTCAAAATCAAACCTTAATGTTCCTGAGTGAGTCAGTCTAAGCAACAATTAAATTGACCTAATTATCTTTCTGTGGTTATGCTAAATGACATCAACGTACGCAAACATCGTTCAGTCTAAATATGAAATATTTCGACGTAGTACTACCAAAAAAAACTTTACAAGTGTCTGAACTATTAATTTCTTATCAGTTTTGGCCCAGATTATACACAGTCTGCAGCCAAAAACGCCCTCCTAAAAAGACTAAAATCTCTAGAGTACCTGTAAATAAGTAAGGAAACACAATTTAAAGAAAGAAATGTTGTCTAGATTTCCATAATTATTCATTAATGTTTTTAATCACTTTGATAAAATATTAATGACGTTATACGTACCAGGCGGGCAGACAAAGGAAGAAGTGATCGAAACGAATGAGCGTCTACGCGCAGTGCGGATACGACTTGACGAAAACTATGACACGGCTAAGAAAGCGCTCGTCACTCTCATGGGACGGTACAACGAGTCCAAAGCCGAGAGGAATGTCTTCACTAGATACGCACTGCTCAAGGCAATGATTAAGGTAACTAGACATTACAATAATTTTACTGAATAATTTTTAACTGTATTTATACTACAAATGTATAAAGTAATTTTAAAATTAATATAGCGTCATGAATACCGAAGTTAAACGACATTAAGCGTCCCTTCCGGTAACAGATTCCGTAGTCGAATTAGTCCATTTTGCATCGCATTGTTCGTTGCTTTAATTAGCATAAATTCCAGGGCTCGTTGAGAGAAACCAATAAATACAAAGAAGCATTCTGTAGTCTGTAGTCTGTGCTCTGGATATTAATACATAATTATAAACAGATGTGATCTCGAATTAACGTAAGATCTCAATGGATCGCTTGATGGGTGTATTACGTTACCAGTTGTAGCCAATTATAAGTAATGAATGTGATTGCATTCAAAATACATTTATCAAGGAATGTACATTAGCAAAATTTTAATGTTTCACATGTGGAAGAAGCGAACATGATTTCGAATTTGCCAAGTGAACGTTTCTAACTAATTTAGTCAATTTTTTGATACAGAATGTTTTTATATCGGTTTTTTATTTAGCAAAGTGCTTCAGTGGTGATGTATAGAACCCAGGTAAAAGAAACTATCTACAAATGGTATTTTAGTAAGTAATTAATTTGATCATCTAACTTAAAGTAATAAAACATATGTGTGTGCTACTAATCAAACTTGAGTAGTAAAAAGGTTGGTAATTTAAAAACTTACGACATTACAACTCTTAACCAAAATTAAGTGATCGTGTCGATTTATTTGTCAGACAGTAAATTAGGTTACGAAGAATTTATTCTGAATGTTTTATGTGTTTGGCTTTGTATCCATTTTGATAATATAAGTAAAATTATTGTAACTACACTACAAAAATATTAAGAAGAGTTGCCTTAGAAACTTATTAAGTAGACCTGTTTTAAGGTATCGTACTTTGTACTAATACTATAGTTAAGAACTTTTTAAGCTTGATAGAATTTGTAGCCTAAACAGCTGAATTTTGGTATAGATGTAGAGGTTATGCAAGAACACATAAGTTGCTCACTTTTATTTTTTTTTTAATTCCACGCCAACGGAATCGCAAGCGAAAGCTAGTAGTATTAATAAGTATTTAATTTATATGCTGAAACATTATTTTTTACTTACAAAAAATACTCCATTTTTCCCAATTTAAGTTAACGTGAGGTTCGTAGTTTAAATCTTTTCTATCGCTATCGTATAAAGGCTTTAAGAACTATGTTTAAAATTTCAAACATTTGTTAACATAATTAAATCTGCGCGTTTCCACGCCTGAGATCATGTATTTGCTCTAATTTAACTGGAATCCCATAAAGCCTTTGATTGTTTTCCGGTTGGCAATTGGAAGCGCGGATTACAAATGTAAATTCAATTATGGCTTTAGTCTTACCACCAGCAATTGGTATAGTTATTTGCATGTATAAATTACTTTGATTAAAGCTTTACAATATTTTTGTTGCCATTAAAACATTTTATTGGTGTTGACTTTATTGGTGTTTAATAAATAAATGTATAATCAAATCGCATCCGAAGACCAATTCGTTGCGTAGTCATAATTTTATGTTAATAATAAATTTGTTAGTCACATCGAGCTAAGTCTACGTCGGAGTGTTTCTCCTTTTAGGATCGACACTTATATGGGTATATGAGTCATGTGGCGCTTGTAACTAAGTGTCAGCACGTAGCACCAGATATACACGTATCTAGACTTATTAACGTAACACACGCGATTAACCAATAATGCGAGAATTTTTAAATCGATTCAGTAGTTTTTGAGTTACAAATCTTTTCTCTTTGTAATATTAGCATACACCAAAGTTTTTTTTTATAACATAAGGTGACAAACGAGCAAGCGGCCACCTGAATCCACCGAAATGGAAAGCGACCGCTGCCCATAGACATTTGCAATTGCAGATGCGTTGCCTACCCTTAATTGACGGAGGAGACGCACATTAAGAGGACATTTACCCTTCCTGTGCGTCTCCTTAACCCTCAAATTCACTTTTCCTTCCCATCCTTTTTCTTAAGAAAAGGGTGACAAGGGAAAGGGACTAAAATTAGGCCTCCGGCACCACACTCATGAGACGAAACGCGGAATTGCTTCCACTTCACGCCTGTTTTCTGTGTGGTCGTTGTATTACACCGGGCGAGCCGGCCAATTCGTGCGAAGATGTTAAAGCGGGCTCTACCACTATTAAAAGTTATATGGTTATTGATTTAGTATGTACAATCGGAGAAACTAGCGTTGTTTCGTTTTTATAGATACAATCGTTTGACCATTTTGAAACGAGACTTGGAACAAAAATCAATACAACGCCGCTTATATATGTGTCTGTAAAAACACGTTGGTTAATGATACACAGCTAAATTCTTCTTAAAAGTCAATAAAACTACCGTATCCATTAGTTTTTCGCCAATACTCATACATACGTATTAGTACTCCGGAAATTATTTCGAAAACAGTTACATTAATTTTTATCTGTATATACTAATATATATAATACCCGTAAACACATATTACTTTGTGGCGTAGGATGTCAGAAATCACAGTATACTTATTTTTGAATAATTCTTTCTTATGTAAAAGGTCCTACACTGATGACACGCTTTAGGCTGTATATTTTCACGCTATTAAACTTAGGGTGATAAAAAATAGGAAAAAACCAATGTCAATGAAACAGTTTCCGTGATTTGTCATTATGTCATGTCATTTTCACATTTGAAATTGATAATTTGACAAATGTAAACAAAAAAAAAATATTATTTCTGCTAGTACATAATACGGTGTGTGTATAAAACGTTACTTCAGTATCTCAATGAAACTTAATCGTTAAGTTATGCTAAACAATTTGTTGACTGGAGTTTGTAAAGCCTTGATGTTAAATCTACTTACGAAGTTGTAATGCTGGCTTTACTAATTGAGTAAAACATTTAAGTGAATGAGGTCAAAGTAAGGTATTTACGTGATACATTCCCCTCACGTACGAGGGCACGCGTACTCCCTCGACCACCTATTTTGTCATACCTGTGTCCTCTATGGTATGTAACATAATACGAATATATATAACTTTTATGTCATATAAAAAAATATTTTTCACTGTTTTAATATGTTGAACCCTTTGTTTACGAAGTACAATAAAGTATTAACACTAAAAAATTAACTATTTTTATATATTCAGCGAACATAATTAAAAGCCTCAAACTCATGTTAAATATTTAATAATATTTTTTATAATAAAGTGGCCAACGAGCAAGTGGCCACTTGAATCCGTCGAAATGGCGTAGCGACCGTTGCCCATAGACTCTTCTTCTTCCATCGTTATATGATATTTGTACCGTTTTTTTTTTAATTCGATGCCGTTTTATTTACCTTTTTATGTAGTCAACGTTTTTAATGCACATATCCTCATCGAAGAGGAAATTCTAAACCCATTTTTACGGATCGTATAACCCCACAAATGACAGTAAGTAATCTAAGCTCAGTATTTATGCAGGTTATAAAAATACTATAAAATACAACGACAGTGGCCCTTAAAATTTATGAGCTATAAATTCTTAGAAGTCATTACTCCAAGTATGCAACAGATGCTAAATGAATAATAGTGGTAGCTGTAATAATGACGGTGATAAATTATAGATCCTTTGTAGCCCATTTTTCATCCAGTCTAGATCTTTTCCGATCTGTGATTGAATAATGATACAGTGACATGAAGTTTAGAAACTAAAGACAATTATCGCTAGTGCAGTTGTATGCAATAGTGTGTCATGAAGTAAATAGTTTTCCATGACAATTCAATATCGCATAGTTGTAGGTAAGTTATCTTTTCCGCGCTCACTTCCGCTACACACCTCGCTTAGAGCTCTATTATTTCACTATTAGTCGTAAAAAAATTATAAATGTATAATTCTTGATGAATTAAACTTATATATCAGAAGTAGTCAAAATGTATGGCATTTAAGGTCTAAATATGACAAGGGCGAGCATCCTTTATAAACCTATAAATCGGGCCCAAATTAACTCAAGCGAGTCTTACACAAAAGATGTAGACAACCGTAAATTTATTTGTACAAGCTGACTAAGGATTAAATTTATAGAATTACGAGACCGTCAATAGAGAAATAAATCGTAGTAAGAAACAGAGACATTAAAGAACATCTTTAACACAATCTTAATATTTACATAACATAGGTTTCATCGATTTTCTATTTAATTCGACTGACGAGTAAAAAGAATCGAATAGATTAAATAGTCTAGAGAGACAAAGATGAATTTATCTAGACCCGAAAGCTATTAACACGTGAAAAATAAACCTAAGAAAAAATATATTATTGTTAAGTAGAAAATCAGTGCCGGTGTAACGGCGCAGCACTAGATTATTGGCGGGCACGTCCCGTCGCTATGACATCTGTCAATGTCAATCAGAAGTGTCAAGAAGCGCGCCATTCATGGCGGCGATGTATAGACTAAATAGCGAAGTAGAATTACGTTGTTGCGATTATATTATCTCCTAAAATTAAGGCTTGCCTTAATATTGATTTAAATAATTGTTTAAAACTTATATAATACTTTGTTCCTTACATCTTCGGTAATTTTGTATGCAATTGCAAAAATTGTGAACAATTACGACGAATATTAAGTCTTGTTTTGGCTTTTAAATATATATTTTGTAACTTTTGTGCAAAAAGAATAAATAAATAAATAAAGGCCTATACTAAACATTATTAATAAGAACTTTAAATTTTAATGTAAAGAAGTACATAGTTTGTGGTAGTCCTAGGAAGAGATTGATGGAATGCGTGAACAGTTCCACGATTAAAAAGGCAGTGACTACATCACTCGTTGGATCTGGAGAACGATATTCTGTGGTACATTCATTCGTGAGATACGACGGACAGGGGAGATGATAGACCCGAAGTTACTTCAGAAGGAAGTCAATTGCTTTTAATCATTCTCGAGTTCTTTTTTCACACCTGCGGAAAACCCATGTGCCATAC